CAGCCTCAAGGATGGTACAGAGATGAGCAGAGCAAACCTGGGTCTTTGAAGATGCGGTTGAGCTAATAGTCACCTGTCCTAAAACCCTCCCTGCCCAGAAGTCTATACATCTGGGGGCAGTACTTTCTGAGTTGTTCACCCCAGTTGGAGCTGAATTTTCTGTTGTCTATGAACAAAAGCATCCTAATGGACATGTTGCTCCCTCAGTAGCCAAGCTCTGGGCTTGACTCAAACATGGGGTCACAACATCATAGAATGATAGACGTCAGCGAGCTCATTCTGTCTCCAATACAGAAATGAGAGGATGAAGTCTTCCCAGAGATGGGTAGCAACTTGCCCCAGGGCACGCCGCTAGCAGGGGGCAAAGCCAAAATGCACGCCCGCATTTCTGACCCTCATACCTTACTCTCCTCGTACCCACATGTGGGAAGAGGACAAGCTGATGTGATCTGAGTAGAAGAAAAAAGGAATGAAAACTAAGAAGCGGAACTTCTTGCAGGTCCTTTGAGAGATCTGGCGGTTGTCCAGGAGCCCCTGAGGCCTCACCCAGCCTCTAGCTCACCAAGGCTCAGATCTACTTAGTGTTCCCTGCACTGTGATGCATGTGGTTTTAAATGCCAGAGCAGGGGCCTGATACATTCTCTTCCTGGACTGCTGGCTCTTGGGACAAGTTGTAGATCAGGGTGACGACAGGGCCCTGGTGAACTGCTGCACTGCGGTCAGAGGGACCCTTTCACTTTACTGCATGTTCACAGCGCTGAGCATCAGGGCAGTAACTCTCAGACACACAGAGAGAACTGGCATCGAAACACTGATGGGGACCTCGGCTTCAGACAGACCTAGAGATATCAGTGCCCCTGATAGCAGCTGCCTTGTCTTCTCCCTGCCAGGTCAGGGCTGAGGGCTCACTCTGCATAAACATGCTGGGGCCAGCCTTGAATCCAAGCGCACTGATTCCCACAAGAGCAAACGGCCCTGGAACAGCAGGCAGCGTCTCCACGTGCCCACCTCTTTAGGGGTCTCCTCCTCTTCTAAGCACCTGGGAGGATCACGCTTCTCCACACAAACACCCCACTTCAAGGTGGGGTTATGCGATTAGCTCTGGCTAATTGGCTGTAAGCAGCATGGATGCATATATCTTCTGGATCAAAGCAGTTAACTGCGCGTGTGAAATCTTCCAATTCTCTTCCCTGCCTTGGGAGTCATGGAAAAGGGTGTGTGATGGAAGTGTGTACGATGGAAGCCACCTGGAGCTCTAAATTACGACGTGAAGACAGCTGCCCAGGAGAGAACGCAATTTCAATCTACAGTAAGGAGCAGACGTTTGTTGTGTAAAGTCACTAAGATTTCGGTGCTGTTTGTCATTGCAGCGTAACCTTGCCTAACTGGCCCTGGAATCTTATCAGTGTCAGTAACAGCCATCACCATTTATTAGCACTCACCAGGTTTCAGGGAGGGTGCTAGGACCTCTGTGGACCTCACCTCATTTAAATCCCACACTAACCCTGTGAAAAGAAGGTTTGGGATTTTCCCAGAGTCAAACACCGAAGACATGATGATGCAGTGAATTCTCAGATCTACACTGATCTTACTCCAAAGACTCATATGCTTTTACTGTTAAACATGGGGGGGGGGAGAAATACTGAGAGAAAAGCTTTTATAATGTATTGAAAAAATCAGATAGAAAATTCTGTATATAAGATGACTTCAATTATTTTTACATACACACACGAGAAAGTGAGAAAGAAATAGAGAGAGAGAGAGAGAATGGAAGTGAACCACAATATATACAGTTGAAATCTTCAATGGGTGGTTTTATGGAAGGTTTCTATTTTATTTTTATATGCTTCTATAATCTTTTAGGTCTTCTACAATGAGTAAATATTATTTTATAGTCAGAAAAAAATGCATTTTAAATGTAGGATAGTAGCCAAAATAGAATGTGAATTTCTGAGATCCAAAACCTCCACGACTCAAGAAGACTCAAGGAGTGATGGAGAACAAATGCTTATTAAGCCCCTACCATGTGCCTAGCATTTTTTGTAAGTTATAACATTTAATCCTCTCCATGATCCTGAGAAATAAGGATTAATTTTTCCAATTTGCAGATAGAAAGCAGGGATTCAGAGAGGTCAAGTAACTAGCCTAAGGTCACACAGATATGACATGACCAACAGGCTTTTGGACCCCAAACTCACATTCTCTTCAGTACACGGTGCTTACTATAATTAGCCCCCATGGGCATTCGTTCATAGTTTGGTTTTGAATCTTATATTCCTCCGTTTGTATGAGTGCAGGGATGCCTGGGTTTTATCCCAAATCAGAGCCACAGGGCCCCTTGAGGTTTCCCAGAAGAAACTGCAGCAAATGAGAATCAAGCTATTAATCATTGCTTATGCACCTTTGTCGTCTTAGGAATTTATGGAAATTTATGCTTTAGGGAAAAGCATAACCCTTGGGGCTGTTGTTCATAGCCTTGTTTCGAGACCTAGGGAGATATTTCCTCCCTCTGTGTCCCAGTTTTACCTTGAGCCAGCCACCCGAGGCCAAGCCAACGTGAGAAGAGGAGCCAAGGGGAAGTCGGACGACTGTCTACCCTAAATATCCAAAGTGCTATGCAGAACACTGTCTGCAAACTTTTTATCCTGAAGACTCTCAAACACAAAAGTAGAGAGTGTAACAAACTCCCAAGGATCCATCACCCAGCTTCAACAACTACCAACATTCTGCCATGTTTGTTTCATCTCTACCTTATATTTTGTTCCATCTATATCTGATTTATTTTAAAGCAAATCCCAGACATCACGCCATTTGCACCTCAATACTTCAGTAGCATCTGGTTAAAAATGGACATTTTTATACATAACCACAATGTTATTATCACACCTCACAGAATCATAATCTTATCTAATACCCACTCCCTATTCAAATTTCCCAATTGCCTAAAAAATTAATTTTAAGTTCATTTTCCCAAATCCAGACTCACATAGGCTTCATTCACTGTATTTGATTGTTAAGTCTCTCAAGCTTCCTCCAGTAGGCTGACGACATAACAGGCCATTGAAGCATAAACACTTCCGAGAGTGAAAGAAAGCACTGTTAATAATATATCAAGACAAAAATTATAAACTAAGATTGTCCAGGGAAAACTATAGGGTGGCCACACCTG